TTGCAGGGACTGTTTCAAGGCCTTTTACACCCACAAGTTCAGGGCCATGCTGGGGAAGAACCGGCTCATCTTCCCGGGTGAGAAGGTAGCGTCTGGGTCCTGGGGTCTGACTGAGCAGCCTAGCCCTGAGGCTCAAGGCCTCTGCTGTCCCTCCTGTGGGGGGGGTCTGGACCCTCCCTGGTATTTGAGGGTAGGCTTGGTGTCTGGGCTGTCCTCGAGGTGGGGCAGACACTCATGTAGGGGAGAGATGTGGTGGCTTCAGTGATATTCTTCCACAGGTGCTCTTGGCGTGGTCGGGAGGGCCTTCATCCAGCTCCATGGTCTGGCAGGTCCTTGAGGTAGGTCTGCACCAACCCTGGGCCCAGGCTGCTGGGCTGAGCTTCAGGCTGAGAGGACCTCCTTTAGCCTGCCCAAGGGACTCTTGGGACTCAGAGAGCAGCCCCCCCCCTCAAGCCTGGTGGGTTCTTAGATGTGCATACAGCAGGTGCACAAGCCAGAAGCCATGTGCAGAGTACTCAGCTGTGCCCAGTTGAGCCTTGTCCATCTGCTCACTCTGCCTAGAAGTGCAGAAGTGCATGGTGGGAGAATGGAGCAGCAGTGGCCAGGTTGAGGTGAAGAGTATGGCAGGGAGGGGTAGGGGGGCGGTGGCTGAAGGGGGTAGGCTGTGCCCTGGCATGGACCAAGCCAGTCAATGATGTTCAAGACGGGGAGGGAAGGGTGGGCAGGATGAGATAGGAGGGTCAGTGGCCAGGGGTCTGCCTGGCCCTGGGATGGCACCCTGCACTTCTGTGGCTGGTGGCCCTCTCACCTGGAGGCCCCTGCACCTGCCTGGATGGTACCCCCCTGCCCACTGCTTGTCCAGCACCTGGCACTGCCCTCCTGTGCCTGGCCATGCCCTGCCCTTGCCATGTGGTCACTTTCTACTCTTAAGTCCAAGAATGCTTTGAGTGGTCAGAGGTGCCTGGGTAGGTGGCATGATGGTCCTGAGGACCCAGCTTCCTCTCTTGGGGCATTGCTGGGATGTCAAGGACACACTGGTGAGGGGCTACTGCTGAGGTTTCTTCAAGCAGGGATGTTTACCTGGGAGGGTAAAGACCCTATTCGCCAACCTCACCTTTGGAGTTTGTCTAGCCCCAGATCCCAGGGGGCTTTGTTTGGGGGGAGGGGGCTTTACCTTCTAGGAGGGCACTAAATCTGGATGAGAAATGTTCTCAACTAGAAAAGTACCTGTGGCTTGTGGCTGGGGACCAAGCCTTTGACACTTCTACCTCCAGGGTCTGAGTCAAGATTCTGCCAAAAGGCTGCGTTTTGTGCCAGGGGTCATCTTTGTTGATGGTACGTGTGGCTGTCACTCCTCTCCAACCCCAATTGCTGGGGGTGGGCCCCAGTGGCTCTCCCTCTGGTAGGACTTGCCAAGAATTGCTGGTGCTGTCCTCACATCGAGGCCCCGGTGGGGACATTTCTCTTAAGTAGCCAGTGGATGTGTCCACCATTACACACACTGCCATTCCGGGGTCTCAGACCATCGTCAGGAAGTCTGGGGGTGGGAGGAGGGAGTAGCCTGCAGCCCCCATGAAGGGGTCTGGGAAGTGAGAAGAGCTGGTCTTGGTGACGAGGACAGGGTATGGAGTGGCTGGAGTGCTGTCCTTGACCCTTACTGCCACGGGGCATCCTCCCAGGGAGGCATCCTCAGTGCTGTACTCAGCCACTGGGCAGCCCCCTGCCTGCTCAGAAAACAGTTCCTGCAGTTTCTATAGAAGCCACAGACTTGCAGTCTGTGGGACTTCTCCCTGTGGCCTCGCGCTTTGTCCAGCCCTGCTGGGCTTTGCTGAAAGCCACAACCACTTGTCCTGCCTGGGTCTTTCAGAGGGAGCAGCTTGTGGTCAGAGCCCAGAGGATAGAGCAAAGACCCTGGCCGAGGTAAAGCTGATCCTACAGACTGTTGGGTTCCCGTGGTACCTAGTTGCCTTAGAAGAGGTGAGTAGGTCTGTCCCTGGAAGTGACCTCTGGGTCTCCATTTCCCTGTGGTGTGTTGGTGAGGGTGGACGTGGGCCTTGGCCTCACTGCCCTCTCCTGTTTCCTGGCAGGTTTTTGGCCTGCCACCTGCAGTGCTGCGCTGCTCTGCCCAGGAACCAGCAGGGACCGCAGGGGCTTACAAGGCGGCTGTGGACAGTTTCCTCCAGCAGCAGCACACACCTGGGACTGAGGGCGCTGAGGACAGTCCCAGCCTGGCTCAGCAGCAGGGACAGCTATGCCAGCCCCCCCCACAGGGCCCCATGGGCCTCCAGAGCCCAACAGGGCCACCTGCAGCTGCCCAGACTGAGGCTTTGTCCAGACTGTTCCACTCAGTGAAGACGCTGACAGCCAAGGAGGAGCTTCTGCAGACCCTGAGGTGAGTGCTGCCCCACCCCTGTCTTGTCCACCCCCACCCCACGTCCTGTACTTCCCCAGGCCCTTGAGGCATCCCCCACCTTGGCTGGGATCCTGTCCACCTCTAGGCCATTGAGGCATCCCTCCCCCAGGTCCTGGCCCCCTCAGACCTCTGAGCACGCTCCACCATAGGACTCACCTGATCCTGCATGTGGCCAGAGCCCACGGCTACTCGAAGGTGATGACAGGGGAGAGCTGCACCCGCCTCGCCATCAAGCTCATGACCAACCTGGCACTGGGGAGAGGGGCCTTCCTGGCCTGGGACACGGTATACAGGAGCCCAGGGCCCCCGAAGACCCTCCCCACCTCAGTCCTGGGGTCTCCCATACAGAGGTGGGGGCCTGTGACCCTGTCCAGTGGCACTGGAGGAGGGGAGCACACTTGGACCTATGGCCACACAGCCCTCGCCTCACCCAGGGCTTCTCTGATGAGCGGCATGGGGACGTGGTGGTGGTGCGGCCCATGCGGGACCACACCCTGAAGGAGGTCGCCTTCTACAACCACCTATTTGCCGTCCCTTCTGTCTTCACGCCAGCCATCGACACCAAGGTGAGCTGTACTGACAAGGGGGCTGTTGTCCCTCCGTGGGACCCAAGCTTTGTCCTCTGGCAGTGCCAGTAGCAGCACCCCCCAGGGTGAGTTGGCTCACGCCACGCTTTGGAGAGCCAAGAGGCAGCTGGCCACTGATGCCCTGTCTCTGGGAGGGGTGATCCCTGCAGGCACACAGTCTCCTGAATAGGGCCCCCACAACCCCTTCTCATTGTCTGTAGGCCCCCGAAAAGGCTAGCATCCACCGGCTGATGGAAGCCTTCCTCCTGCGGCTGCAGACCCAGTTCCCCTCCACTGTTAGCACCGTGTACAGGTGTGTGGGGCAGGGGTGGGGCTGCTGAGCTGCCACCCTGCTTGGGCCTGGGAAGGAGTGAGGCCTCTACTGAGCGTGTGACCTGCCATCTGGCCACAGGACAAGTGAGAAGCTGGCCAAGGCGCCCAGGGACAGCCATGACACTGCCCACTCCGAGCCCCGCTGCCTCCTCTGCCTGTGCACACTGGATGTTGACGGTGCTGGTTTGTGCTGGGTTTTTGCAGTGACAGGGTGTGGAGGGGAGCTGGGGATGCGTGTACGGTTCAGCAGCCCCAGGGTCCCCTCAGCCCCTCTCTTCTTGCAGACAGTGCCACGGCCTTTGGGGCTCAGACCTCCTCGCACCTTTCCCAGATGCAGCCACATACTGCCCTGGCTGAGGCAGGGATGCACCCAGTGCCCTGCTGCCCTCCAGAGGTGGGCAGTGCCCAGGGCTGCTGCAGGGGGCCCTGTGAGAGGTGAGTCCCTGCCCTGTTCTATCCCATGGCCAGCCCCTGGCAGCTGTACAAAGAGAGGAGAGCCCGTCCTCTCCCCACCCCACCCCACCCCATGCTGATTTGCCAAGGCGGAGCACAGCTAGCTATGCCTCTACAGGGGGGATCCCCGAGTCTGTGTCCTTGAGTGGCTCTGCTATGGCTGCCGTGTGAATATGAAGGACTTGGTGAGTGGAAGACCCCTCCCGCCCCCCAGGTGGCTTGGGGAAGAGAAGTGAGAAAAGCACCCTGGGTGGTAAGAGGGCTGGTTTACTGCCCTCATTCACGTCAGCTTTCGGCCGCAGCCTTCCTTGGATTCCCTGCCACCCTACATCCTGGCTGAGGCCCAGCTCCGCAGGCAGAGGTACCAGCACACTGTCGGGAGCCCCTTCTGGGTGGGAGCCTGGGGCTGCTTCCCACTGTGTACCCCTCGCCCTCCCAAAGCCTGGGTGCTGCTTCCCACTGCACCCTTCACCCCCCCCCTCAGAGCCTGGGTGCTGCAGGAAGTCCAAGAGTATCTGATTGCGGACAGCGATGGGGAGGCAGAGACAGCAGAGAGCTGAACCCGAGGATGTGCAGTCAGGACAGCCACCCAGTCCCAAGGGAAGGCAAGGCCTGAGGGCCAGCCCTGTGATTGTCTGTATAAATAAAACTGTTTTTAATTAGAAAACTCTACAGTACGCAAAGGTGGGGGGCTAGGCCCAGTGTGGCCACCCAGGGCCATCTGGGCACAGGGGTGGGACGGCAGCACCACACAGGCTGTGGGGACGCAGCGTCCTTCTGACAGCAGCATCAGGGCTCATGTGGGCCGGGTGGAGGGTCACTGCTCCCCAGCCCAGGAGTATTGTGCACCGTGGCCACACTACCTGGCGCCTACTCCTTCTCTCGGGTCCACTTGATCATGGTCTCTGGTGAGCGGTACAGGAAGATAAGCTTGGCATAGAGCTCCTCCTCCAGCTCTAGCTCACGTGTCTCCCGCACCAGGAAGATGTCCTGGCACAGCTTGAGGATGCGGTCCACACAGGGCAGCTCCTCGAACATGATGGAGTGGGAGATCTCGCTGAAGAAGCCGCGGACAAACTTGCCAATGACCAGCACGATGGACACGTACAGCCCCATGATCCTGCCAACAGGACGAGTGAGGCTGGGGCTGTGGGGAGGCCCTGGACGTCCCGTCCCTGTGCTGACACTCACCCGTAGCCAGCCAGGAAGCCAAGGCTCGGAGGGCTGACCTTGTCACTGAAGATGACCATGGGCAGCAGGTTGCAGTCGGCCTGGCAGTCCTGCAGCTCCACCACCCACCACTCGAGGAAGCCAGCGGCCCCTGTGCCCACGTGCTCCCTCCGCAGCTGGAGGCGCACATCGAGGTAGTCGGCCTCCTCCTCTACATCAGAGCCAGAGATGGTTGGGGCCAGGGCTGCCCTGCCATCCAGAGCCCAGGCTGCATCCCGCCCCCTCGCCCCCACATGCCCACTCACGAGGCTGCAGCTGCCTCACGGGATTGGCTTCAGGCCCATTGGGGGCGCGGATGTACTTGGGGAAGAGGTTAGGGATGACTCTGTGGGAAGAGCTGCAGGTCAGCTGCTGGCCACCGGTTGGCCCCTGCCCACCAGCCACCCAGCCCTGTGCCAACTCACACAGACTGGTTCGAGGTGCCCTCAAGCAGCCTGGCCAGCTGCAGCCGTGCGGTGCTGTTGGGAGCAAGGTCCAGGGTGTGTTTCTCGTTGGTGTTCTCCACTGTGCCGCCCTTGGCCAGGTCCCTGCAGGGCAGCTTGGCATGACTCTCTGGCCTGGGGTGGGGGGCTCCTCGCCCAACCCCAAGCACAGGACCCACCTCTGGAAGTTCCAGGTGAAGCGCAGGGTGATGTGGGCATTGCCATTGGATAGCTCCCGCTTCATCTGGGCCCGGCTTGGGGGGCTGATACGCCATAGTGCCCCAGAGCTGCCCTCTATCTGTGCTGTGACGATGTCCTCAGGGCTGTACTGGCTGATGAACTGCATGGCCAGCTGGGCACAGGTGGCACCTCAGCAGGGTGCTGCCCCCTCCCCCTTTCTCCTCCCCAGGCAGTGGCATGGTAGGGCTGCTCACCGGGTGTGGGTCAAACTGTCTGGATAGCTCCTCATAGGCCTGGGATGTGAAGGGGATGATGGACGGCTGCTGGGCACTCATGGTGAACAGTGGCTAGAGTGGGGACAGGGTGACATGAACTGAAGCCTTCCAGGACCCACGCAGAACCCCATCTGGGGTCCACAAGGACGGGGGAGGGGTGGTACTGCCTTGGCTAGAACCCACATTAGAGGGGGCCAAGTCCACACTGGCCAGGCTGCCCACGCCTCCTGCTTCCCCTGGGGGCTAGACATGTGACCTACATACTAGGCTGTCAGGTGCTTACCTCATAGCCACCCAGTTTGAGGGTGACAGTGACATCTATGGGCTGGTTGACAACACCAACCACAGAACGCACCAGCGACATGAAGAGCAGGGGGAACCAGATGATGGCGATGAGGAAGAGGATGATGAGGCCGCCCATACCATACTTAACAATTTTCTTCTTTTTTTGTCCCTTGGGCTGTGGGTATTTCTGGGCAGAGGTATGACATAGGTCACCTGGTCAGCTTTGCCCTCCCCTGCCCCATGGCTCAGCCAGCAGCCCATGGCCAAACCTCAACACTAACTGCAAAGCTGTAGTAGTCAGGAGAGGGATGTGAGGGTCTGGAAATAAACCCTCACGTTTAGGGTGCCACATAGTTCTGGGATAGCTAGAGAGCCCTGGCCTCACACCATAGCCAAGAGTGAAGATGGAGACTCTTAGAAGGAAACAGGCAAGTCTTCATGACCTTGAGTTAGGCAAGGAATTCTTAGATATAACAGAAAACACAAGCACAAAAAAATAAACTGGATGTTAACAATAGACACTACCAAGATAGCAGACAGCTCACAGAAAGGGAGAAAAGTTCTGCGCATCAGATATCCAATAGGGTTAATAAGCGACAGATGAAGAACTAGAACTCCATGCTTGAAAGACAAGCCAAGAAGAGGCAGACATCTGAGCCAACACTTCTGAAGACGGCATGTGAATGGCTGTGAGGGAAACATCAAATCAGGACACCTCACATCACCAGGTTGGGGTGGGGGAGTGGGACAATGGGAGGGCACAGCTGCACCAGGAAACATGTATCTTCAAGATGTTAAGTGCAGAGTCACCAGCTGAGCCAGTGGCTCTCTGCAGAAACACCACCAGCAGGTGGATGGGACATGCAGCAACACGGTTGGTCCCTGAAGACGTGCTAAGTAAAAAGCACCTCCCCAAAGGACAGGCTCCATGTGGCTCCATTTTTGTGAAATGTCCAGAACTGGCAAAGCCATAGAGAGAGCAAGTAGATCAGAGGTTACCTGGGGTGGGCATGGCAGCCAGCAGGCACTGGGCTTTTGTGGGAAGAGAGAAATATTCTAAAATTGGTTGTAGTGGTGGGCACTCAATTCTGAATGTACTAAAACCACTGAATTATACATTTCAAGTAGGTGAGTCATGTGGTGTATGAAGTCTCTCTCAAGTGGTTAAAAAATACGAACCCTGTGTGGGTTAAAAAATATGAACACACCCTCCTGCCAGCCTGTGTGGCTGCTGCTCTGACATGGCAGAGTCCTGGGTCCCTGGGGCCTGTCGGCATGGGCTGGACGCCCCTGAGAGAGATGCTCGTGTGTCTGGCTCTTGTGGGGGAGCCCGCTTGTTCCCTGAGAGCCTCATCCCTGGGCCCAGGTACCTTCTCTGTCTCTCGGCTGCACTTGATGATGAAGATATTGGCATAGATGTCCTCCACACACATCCAGTTGGACAGGGACAGTGTGGTATCTGTCCACACCCAGTCCATCACTGCCCGTAACTCCACCAGGAAGGGCACCAGCCGGAACCTGCCCATAGCCAGGGTCCCTGTCAGCTCCTACAGTGGTCCACCAAGGGCAGCAGGCCCAGCCGGTGCACTCTGCTCCCCAACCTCCAGGCAGCCCCGTACGTACCCTTGGAAAAGGAAGAGGTTCAGGTGATTGTACTTCTTAGTGAGGAAGTTACCGAGGATGCGGGTAGGGTAGCCACAGCGGATCTGGTAGGCAGACAGGGCGAAGTAGATGCACTTGACGAAATACCACAGCTGGGCCACTGCGTTCTGGCTGAACATCCTGGGGTAGAAGGGGCAGGTCAGAGCCCCCCTGGAAGTCAGACTCCTGGAGACCCCAGACCTGCCCTGCATAAAGGAGTGCCAGCATCCCGGGGGGGGGGCTGAGCACCTCGGGGTGCAGCACCCACCTCTCAGTGACAGCAGGCAGGATGAAGAACATCCAGAGGTGGATGGCCACCACCAGGACCACTTGGAAGGCCAGCTTGCCCAGCACCGTCTTGCGCAGGTAGAGGGCACGGTCAACCACCATGGTGCTGAACTGGATCAGCAGCATGACCAGGAAGGCCTCAGGCACCTGGTCATCTGACAGGGAGGATGTGATGTCTGTGGCCGCTGAGTGCTTCTGTGGCCAGGAGAGAACGGGTCAGGGGAAGCTACAGCCTGAGGGGCATGGCAGCTGCTGGACTCTGCAGTCACTGGGGGTGTCCTGACCCAGCTCACCCCAAAGGCCCAAAAGCCAAAGATGATGATGATGAAGTCGACAACATCAGCCAAAAACATGAGGACATAAACGTCAGTGGCTGCGCGGTACTTAGTGTGCAGAATGTCGTGGAAGAAGCAGCGCAGCGGCCGGTACACGCTCTGGGCCCTGTGGGCAGGTGGGCTCAGCTGGGTGCCCACCTCCCCACACTGCCCCCACTGCCCAGGCTGTTCCCATCTCAGGGTGACTCACAGAGACAGGCAGCTGGTCTGCAGCCAGAGTGCGGCTGCCCTCACTCTCTCTCGGGAACGGCCTGGCAGCTTCTGTTTCTCTGAGGCGGTCACCTCCTCCTCCTCCTCCTCCTCCTCTTCCCCTCCCTTCGTGTCTGTGGTGGAGAAACCATCACTCATTGAGCACGCCCACCCCAAAGGATGCCTCCCCACTGTACGGACAAGCACCTACCCACTGTGTTGCCAGCCCAGGTTGACAGACCCCTCACCCTGTGCCCAGGGCAGCCCAGCACTGCTGACAGCTAAGGCTTCCTGTAGGACAGCTATTCTCAACCTGTGGGGCGTGACCCCTTTGGGGGTTAAACGACCCTTTCACAGGGGTCGCCTAAGACCATCATGCTTATCAGATATTTATATTATGATTCATAACAGTAGCAAAATTACAGTTATGAAATAGCAACGAAAATAATTTTATGGTTGGGGGTCACCATAACGTGAGGAACCTTAAAAGGGTCACGGCACCCGGAAGGTTAAGAACCACTGCCCTAGGAGAACTGGGAGTCACGGGCTCCAGGTCCTCCCCGAGACATGGTGAGGGGGTAGTGGCTACACTCAGGAGTGCTGGGTGAGGGGGTTGTGGTCGGAGCTACTATACCAATGGCTGCTGGTCCTTCGGGTTCTGGGCTCGCTCTCTTCCTTTTCCTAAAACGTAGACTGATGCGCCTCATACTGGAGGGCTTCAGCTCCACTTGGGACTCTGGGGCCCCATCCTTGGGTCCGGTCTTTACTTCTTCTACCTGAGTGTGATCCTTGGTGGTGGCCCCAGGCATCTCCAAATCTTCCTGGAGCCCAGTGCCTGCTTCGGTCTGGGGGCCCAGCAGGACCCCCGGCTCCTCCTCAGACTCCTGTTCCTTCCCACTGTTCCTGTCATCCTCCTTGGACAGAGGGTCCTCATCGTGATCCCAGAGGCCGTAGCACTGTGGGGAGAGGGTGGTGAGGTCCCAGCCTTGTCTGTGGGGCCAGGAGCCAGCCTGAGGGGCCGCCCATCCACCGTAGCCGCTCACCAGCAGCTGGGAGCGATGGAAGAAGAGGACCATGAGCTGCAGCAGGTCGTATTTGACGTAGCCATCAGTCTTCTCCAGCCCCAGGATACGTGGCGGAAAGTAGGGCTTGTTCTCGTAGCGCCTCAGCACCGCGTGGCTGTTCCAGGGGAAGAAGCCAAACTGGAACAGGTACTTGGTGACCACCACCACCTGCGGGGAAGCGGGCTCAGCACCGCGGGCAGGCCACCCATGCCCTCCCGCCGGCCGCTGCCCACCTCCGTGAAGACGATGGCAGTCATCCAGAAGCGCTTGCTGGGCCGAGGGATGGATAGCATGGCCCACAGGAAGACGAGCACAGGCAGCACCAGGGAGCTGGCCGAAGCCGTGACCATGTGGTTGAGGATGATAATGAAGTAGCAGAGAAGCTCCGAGTGGGCAGCCACGCACTGGTAGGCGGCCCACAGCAGACGCAGCGCCCGGCCCTGCTTCTCCGCAAACTGCTCTGCCTCCTCCAGCTCTGGGATTTGCAGGCACCTGTGGGACATGTGAGCTGGGTGTCGTCTGCAGTCAGCCGCCACGGTAGCACACGGGCTCCCAAGCTGACGAGCCTCTAGGTGGTCATGCCCCCCACAGGCCTGACAAGGGTGGCCGGCTGCACCTGTCCAGGAGCAGTTCGCTGGCTGTCCGCATCTGGATGCGGGTGCTGGCCGGAAGCTCTCGGGAGCTGTGCTGAGAAGCTTTGGCCTCAGACTCCCCAGGGTCGGTGACTGCCTCCTCACTGCCACTGCGCGTGTGGTAGCCAGTACTCAGGGGGCTGCTGGTGTCAGTCACGCTACTCAGGGGCTCCTCGGCCCCCAGCATGCTGCCAGAGGGAGGCTGGGTCAGAGTGGCCTGCTCTGGGTCATACCCAGTCTTCAGGATAGGCAGGGGATGGAGGAGCACCCCAAGGTGCTTTGGTGGGCAAGTGGTAAGATCGGGCTGGCTGAGCAGCAGCTGTAGGTCAGGCTGGGCACTTGGGGCAGCCTTGCTGGGGCTGCCAGGAGGGGAAGGTCCTGGCTCAGCAGCTCCTTGGCCAACACCCACCTGGATCCTGTGCTGGGTATGTGGCGGGCCTCTGAGAATCCTGGCAGTGTGGCCTCACCCACACTGGCATACAGCTGGTCCAGAACTCCCCGGCTCACCTCTCCTTCCTATAGGGCAGCAGAGGGCCTCAGGGATGCCCAGACTGTACCAGAAATGGTCCCTAAACAGGGGTGCAACCTGGGGCAAGGCCTGCTGGGGTGGGGAGGGGTGGCGTGCACAGGCAGGGCATGACCAGGGCACAGCTGACTAGCAGCTGGTGCAAGGACATGGCTGTCAAACTGGGTGAGCAGAAGGGGCTTGTGGGTGGGACTGTGGAGTGTGGGCAGGGCTGGTGGGTAGGTAAGTGCGTGGTTGGGACAGGCGGGGCACGAGGGCCAAGGTGTGCTAGTGGGCGGGGCAGTGCTCACCCTCAGGAGCTGCTGTGTGAGGAGGTAGCGCTCTGCAAGCAGCACGTCGCTCATGGTGCGGTGGTGCCTGGTGAAGTCCCACAGCCAGTGCGTCAGTGCATCCACCAGCGCCTGCCCCAGCACCCATAGGAACTGCACGGTGCTCAGCACCCGCTGTAGCATATGACTGCGGCCTGCAAAGAGGATGGAGGGGATGCTGGAGGGGTGACCAGCCGGCCAGAGTGTCCCCAGCACCCAGCCCCTTTGGCCCACTCACCTGTGACCTCTTCCTCAGGGCCCTCCACTGGCTCCACCTCCTGGTCCTGGCCACCTCCTGGGCACAGGGGTGCTGCTCAGCATCTTGCCTCCCAACAGCTCCCCCACCAGAGCACCCAGCCACCCAGCTCACCAGTGGGCAGCTGCCCTGCCTGGTCTTGCCGCTGCCGCTGCCTCAGCACCGTCTGGGCGTTGGTCACCCATGCCTGGTACGCCATCTGGGGGCCAGGTCCTCTGGGTTAGAGCTTTGGTTTCCCCAAGCCATTGGATCCAATTCAGGAAAAGGAGGAGGAGCCTGGCTGGGGTCAGACAGGCCTGACACCAGATCCCCACTGTCTGGACCCACTGAGGACCTTCATGTCCCTGAGCCCTCATTGGAGATGGAGCCTGAGGGGCTGTGAGACAGACGCCAGTGGTGCAGCCCACCTAGCATAGTTCTGGGGCACACGGTGCTAGCTCCTGACAAGTGTCTAGCAAGGACATCTGCACCCTTGCTGTAGACTAGGTCACTGGCAGCCACCACAGGCTGGGTGGTCAGAGTCGGCACCGGGGAGGCAGTAGGCAGAGATGGGCTGGTTTCCTGAGTGACCTGGGAGATCTGCTGGGCTAGGAGGGACTCCTAGAGGGGCAGGAGCTGGGTGCCCAGGCTGGGGGTATCTGCTCCCCCTCCCCACTGCCCTAGCCTAGGGCAAGGAGCTCTAGGGACAGATGAGAACAGGTAGGGGCCCTCCCAACCCACCTGGAAGGGGCTCTGTGCTGACGGCCTAGGGTCCTCTGGCAGGGCTTCCTCCTCCTCCTCACTGTCTGACTCAAACAGGAAGTAGTCCCCAGAGTGGATGACTGTGGGCAGGTGGCGGAGGGACTGAGGGCCTCCTCTGCACAGGTGGCCCCAGCACCTCAGCAAGACCTCTTGGGTCCATTTCTTCAGTTTGGGATGGGCCAGTAACAGGCCCGGGTGTGCTGCCCAGCCTGGGCTCCCTCGGCAACTCCCCAACAGGGCTGAGGCCCAGGCGCCACCCTTCCCATGGGGGGAAGCCCTGGGCAAGCGGGCGGATGACAGCATACACACAGGACACAGGCCAGTGTGGCAGGACGAGACCAGACAGCAAGCAGGGGCAGGGTGAAGAGGGGACAGACAGCAGACATCAGTGAAAGCTCAAACTGCTGAATCTGAGAGTCACAAAACACAAGCACAAAGCCCAATCTGCCCTTGGGGGACCCACCATCACTGTATGACTAGAGGCTAGTGCTGAGACTCCGGCAGTAGAAGGAGCCCTCAGAGGCAGCAGGGAGAAGAGAATGTGCTTGGGCCAGAGAGATACCCCCCCACCCAGACGGGGCCAGCAGGCAGCAAAAGGGAAGCTAAGACAGCAGCCAGGGAAGGGGCATAGGCAGGCCGTCGGGGTACCTGAGGCATGGTCCAGCCAGGGCCGCCACCACTGTCTCCGTGGCAGGAAGGAGCCCCCTGGACTGCCAGGCCCTGTGGGGGGGGGGCAGGGTGAGCACAAGCAGTGAGAAGTTGGGGCGGCCCAGGAGGCTGAGAGAGCCACAACCTTGGGGACTGGATAGACTCAGACTTAAAGAGTCCAACTGATAGGGGCACATGGGCTGTGGTCAGAGCCCTGCGGGAGGAGGAGAGAGCCCACATGTGCAGACAGGCAGCCACTGGGCCTGTAGAACAGACGGTGACCACAGGGCACATGACAGGTGGGCTGGGAGCCCGTGGGACATTGCATGGCACGGACGCAGGCAGACTCCAGTGGGCACAGATATGCAAACATGGTGGCCCTCTGAGGTTTGGGGCTCTGTCTGTGCTCACCTGGCTCCTGCCCGGAGTCCTCAGGGCCCAGGGGGTCCTGGGGGTGGCTGCGTCCTGGGTGGCGGTGCTTCTCCTGCTTGGCACGAATCCGTTCCATCCTGCAGGTGTGAGCTGGCTTAGCACGGGCCAATAGGAGGGCCTAGACATCCCCGCCCCAGAGGGCACCTACTGTCTCTTTAGCTGAGCCAGAGACTTCTCCTCTGCCTGGCGGTGGGAATCGATGCTTTTGAGGTTGGCAGCATTGTAGAGTGCAAAGCCCCTGTGGGAGGGGAAGGCAGCGTGAGGACAGGGACAAAGCCTTGACTCAGCTCCCAGAAGTCTGCCCTGCTCTCCCTTCTCACACCCAAGGCCCTCTTCTGACCACCTGTCAGCAGGCATCTGCTACCCCCACACCAGCCTCTGTGGTGCATGTGGAGAGAGAGGCCTGGTGTGTGTAGACCACTGTAAAGCCAGCCAAAGCCAAAGCTCAGCTCATGGGAGGAGGGCCCTCTGCTGGGTAGCCAGACACCCTGAGGCCATCCAGCTGGGGTGCACTCAGGCCAGCCAGCAGCAGAGGGGCAACTGGACGACTGCTCCCTCCCAAATGTCCAGTCTGCTTGCTCTGACCCAGCACACGGGCTGGCAAGAACACGTGACAGTTCCAGTGAGTCTTTTGAGGTCCTTTGGTTCTCCCGCTACATGACTGCCAGCATCACCAAGGTGTCCAGCAGTGCACTTTCCCGCCCCAAGGGGAGACTGGGGCTCACCTGGAGGCCTGCAGGGCGGTAGCCTGAAGGTCGGCCCTGACATACAGGAAGTAGTAGCTAAGGAAGGCCCGGCGCTGCAGCAGCAAGAAGCAGAAACAGACGCTGTCCCAGAGGATACCGGCCTCCTCCACGGGTAGCAGGCAGTCCTGGTCTTTGGCCATCATCTCCTGGGCTGTAAGACAGGCAAGGGGCAGGCTCAGGGCCCAGACGCAGCAGGTGTCTGTGCACCCCGTGCCCGCCGCCCCTACACACTCACGGTTGTAGTAGCCTTTGACGGTGCACACGAGGCTGAACAGCTGGATGACCCAGCAGAAGCTGGTCTGCATCTGCTCTACGAAGACGCAGGACAGGAGCTGGAAAGGAGGGGGTCAGTCAGGCTGGGCCCGGGGGTTGGACAGGGCACCTCCCAGGGGACAGGAACAGAGCGTTGGGTAGGCCTGGCCTGGCTCACCGAGAGCATGTTCTTGGAGATGATGACGGTGACGTTGTAGAGGATGAGGCAGTCCCACAGCACGAGCTGAGCCCGCGTGTCCTTCTGCAGCAGGCTGGTGCCGAAGAGCAGCAGGTAGAAGCAGGCCAGCAGGTAGCCCAGGCCGAAGACACTGATGCGGGTGGCACCCGTGATGAACACCACCACCAGCACCAGCCAGAACAGGTAGCGGAAGACAGCCACCTTGACCATGTCGAGGTAGGACCTGTGGATGGGGCCGTCACTGTGGTGTCCCTGCCACCTCCCAAAATGGCCCCCGGGCGGGCAGTGTGAGGCCTGAGCCCCACCTGCAGTGGATGAAGTTGGGCACCGGGTTAGGCTCCCCCCGCAGAGGCTCTGGGTGGTCAGTGTTAGGGCCAGCCACACGCTGCCATTCCTCTGTGCGCTCGGCTGAGAACACCTGCCACTGCTGGGAGGCACAGAGCAGCAGGAGGAAGTCACCTGCAAGACACAGGAGGCGTGGCCGTGAATCCCCACAGCACATCTGGCAGGGTGGGTGGAGCACATGCTGTGGGGACTGAGTGTGCTGTGTGCAGGAGCTGGGGTAGACACATCTGCCTGTGTGAGGACCAGTGCGTGTGGTCTCTGAGAGTGTGCGTCAGGTCTGAGACACACCTGTGTACATGTGCTGCGTGTCTGAGTAGCATGTCGGGGCATGTGGGCTGCATCATGTGCCCCTGTGAGCAGACACAGATGTGTGTGGTGGAGCTGCTCTGACAGAGCCTTGTCTGCCCACCGAGAATTGGAGCCCTCGGTCCCCGTGGAGGTGCCTGTGGGGCAGGGGGTATACTCACAGAAGGCTCCCAGCTGGAGAAATAGGGCATGGACCTAGCAAGGTCTAGGTGACCCATCCCCTGCTGGCTCAAGCCCTATATGCAGAACCTTTATGACCCCACAGATGCCCCCACCCCGTAGGAGGCCAGGGTGGAGGGGCCTGGCCTGCAGTACTCACTGAAGAGGTTTGTGGAGTTGGGGGTCTGGAAAAAGTCAGGCAGGTACAGCCACTTGATGAGTGCGGAGTTCATGGGGATGGCCTGGCTCCAGCGCCATGGGTAATCTGTGGAGGGCAGACATCAAGAGGCGCCAGGCCTCTGGGCCCCAGACCTCCCCAACTGAATCAATAACTTAGGAGCCCAGAGGTTGCAGGTCTTTCTCACCACCCGTGTGACCCCTCACCCTTGGGAAAAGGACCACATGAAGCCCAGGACAGGGACCAGGGTCTGGACCAAAGGTGACAAAAGACTAAAAGCAAACATCAGACTGAACCCTGTGTCATAGGCGTCACTGCAGGGGCCAGGCCGCCTGAGTGGAGCAGACATGCTGGATGGTGTGGAAATGCCTCACGTGGCCTCCCATGGATTCAGAGCACCCCACTCTCAGAGGACACGTGCTAACACAGTATTTGGGGGTCAAAGCATCACGACTAAGCCTCATGGGGCCCAGAAAGAGCACATAGTTCCTCGTACTGTTCTTACATCTTTTCTGGAAATTGGAAATGTTTCAAAATAGAATATTGGGCAGAAAAGGAAAAGACAGCAGCCAGCCACAGAAGAGGCCAGGCCACCCCTAGAGAAGACACGGCTGCAACACAGACCCCAGAGGGCATGACAGGTCATGGGGTGTAGTAGGTGGGCAGCAGCCTGGGGTAAGCACGAAACACCTGATGGGCTTTCACACAGCCACAGAGCCCTGAGCCACACCAGCCCCCTGGTTCCGTGCTCACCTTTGCACAGGACTGGGGGGACACCAAGACACAGCAGGTACTGATACAACAGAAAGAGAGTGAGGAAGAGGCAGTAGTTGGGCCAGAGGCGGGCGATGGCCCGGCGCTGCCTGCGGGTGAGGATGGCCACCAGCCAACAGCCGTGCAAGATGACCATGAAGTTCATGTGCTGCCCAATCACGTTCACAGCCATCAGGAAGCAGATCTAGGGTAGGGATGGAGGGCGGCATACACTGAATGGGTGGGAAGGGACCTTCTGGGCCCCCCTTGCCCAGTCTCCTTGCAACATGGGGAGGCCCCAGCACAGGTGGGGGCCAGCACCACCAGGTCCAGACACCTGGAGAGGCTCAGGGAGGGGGCTCCACAGCAGAGTGAGGCCCTAGCCCATCCCACAACCTCCTCTTGGCACCCACACACCACGGGGACAGTGCTGAGCCTCTCCTAACTGCTCCCTGGCAAGGCGCAGCCTCCGGGCCACAGGGCCTGGGGAGGGGTGGCCCCCGACCTCACCTCTAGCCCAAATTTGTAGAAGAAGAAGTTGATGAAGTACTTGAGGCAGCTGAGCAGGTCCTGGTCAAGCTGCTGGCGGGTGCCATCAGCACACACGGCCTGGGCAGGTGGAGGGGCCAGCTGGTGCTGACGGCGGTGCTGCTCCTGGCCCCGGTACACCATTGCCTCGAAGATGAGCAGTAGCAGGATCTGCAGGTGGTTCTGGGGGGAGGGAATCAGCTGGGGGTGACCAGGCCCACCCCGTCTGCCTCACCACCTCGCCCACCCCACCAGCCCAGCACTTACCTGGATGTAACCCAGGTTGGGGTATCCCTTCCGTACCCCAAACCAGTTGGCAGGGTCCACAGGCCCCCGGTACAGCACAGACTGGTTGATTTCTGTCGCCAGCAGGTTGGTGCTATTGGGGAAGGGCTGGCAGGGGGCTAAGTGTCAGTATCCACCCCAGCCCTGAACCCACTGGGGGGCAGGAAAGCCATAGATCTGGTCCAGGTCTAGGCCAGACAGCAGGGACCCAGGGGCTGCCAGCCTTGGAGCCACCTTAACGGGTTTGGGTTCAGGTGACCTCTGAGCCTGAGAACCCCTTCATGCTGGGGAGTAGGCCCTGATCCTCCACAGACCAGGTGGAAGGATGCACGCTCTAGGAAGCCCCCCAGCCTCCCGGGGAGCCTGCCTGCTGCTGACCGCCCGTGCTGAAGCATGGTCCCTACCTTCGTGCAGTTTCTAGAGTACAGCACAGGGTCGACAGCCTTGAGCTGGTACAGCATCTTACACACGATAATGACGCAGGTCCACACAGTGGACAGGCAGGACGCCATGGGCCGGAAGTGGGGGTAGGGCAGGGCGAAGGCCCAGAGTGCCACCAGCAGGAGGTTCATCACCGACACCTGTGGAGAGGCCAGTGGGGTGGGTGGAAGTGACCCCACATGTGCCAACAAACAGGCTCAGGGGACAAAGCCTGCCACGCACGCACCTCTTTCAAGGCCACCCAGACAGTATACATGGCCACCAGCTTAAAGACGTGCAGCTCCAGCAGACGCCACACAAACACCTGCACACGGCCGAGGACGTCCGAGAAGCCAGCCGCCAGGTCCAGCAGCCGCTCAGCAACCAGGCCCCACTTGCTGGCTGTGCCTGTGGTGGGGGTTGGTGAGGAGTCCACCCGAGCAGGGCAGGGCTCCCGGGCTCAGAGGGTACCTGGCCGTGCAGGGCGGACTCAGGCCCAGGATGTCTGCCTGATGGGGCTGCACTCTACCCCACCCCCACTCCTGACTCACCGTCAGGCACTTGCATGGTGGGGCGGAGGCCAGCTGAGCTCGGGTCCTCAGCCCTGGGTGCCCCCTCCTCCTCCTGCAGCAGTGGGGTCCTGCTCACAGGGTCCTGCCTGGGGGGGACCCGGGAGTGTCACTTCCCAGCTGTTCCTGCCCTCTCCCTGAGCTCTGGAGGCTCAAGGACACACAGCCCACTCTGTGACCACCATCGTGTCTGTTGCAGCGGCAACACAAGGTGTGTGCAGCCCGCCAGACTGAGGTGCTATCCCACCCAGCTCCTTCCCGGTTCAGAGGGACCGCACCTGTGAGTCCAGCGTGGGGGGCTGGTGGGAGGCGGGAGCGGGCGCTCCAGGTCGGTGAGCTGCATGAAGGGCCGGTGGAAGTAGTGCAGCTGCAGGATGCAGGCCAGCAGGAAGAAGCCGGGCACCAGGATGCTGGAGAAGAGCTCGGACACGCTGAACTGCTCCAGGCCCAGGTCCCCCAGCCTGCACAAGGGGTGGCGTCAGCCTGGGGCCGGCCCAGTCAGTCGTGGGCTCAGGCCCCCACGCCAACCCCCACCTCAGACTCACTGCTCGTCAGTGAAGCCCGTGAGGTTGCGCCAGTACGTGGGGAAGTCCTGGAACTGGAAGGTGTAGACAGCCACGAGCACCAGCATGGTGTAGGCCACCACGAGCCACCAGAATGCCTTGAGCAGCTTCCGCCACAGACTATAGTAGACCTGTGGGTGGGCGGGGTGCAGGTGGTGAGGCACAGTGGGGAGGGTCGCCTGCCAGCCCCAGCTGTCCCCACAGGCACCTGGAAGAGCGTGAGGCAGAGCAGGAAGAGGAACATGTAGACGATCTTGTAGACCACGAGGCGGCCAGCAAAGCTGACCACGATGAACATCCCGGCGCACACGTAGATCCAGTATTTGGCGTATGCGCCCTTCACCACCTCGCCCAGACTCCGGAGCAGCGTCCGCATCCGTGTGGGCTCTGCGGACCAAGCAGGGGAGAGTGGTGGTGGCATCAGGAGGTGAGAGGGTGCCCTCAACTCTCAGCCCCACCCCCGGGCCCCACCATGCACCTGTGTCTGCCACGGTGACCTCGGTCAGCTCGGCCAAAGCCTTCTTTGTCTTCAATAGTTTCTCCTTCACAAACTGACGCAGCAGGAGCCAGAAGGTCAGGGTGTAGAGCAACTGGGACAAGCGGAGGTGTCACTGTGGGCTGGGGGTCTGGCACCCCATGGCCAGGGCCCGGTCCTCCCTGCACCAGCTTCCCCCCACCTCGCTCACGTCCACATGGTGCACAGATGCACACGTTCCCATGCCATAGGCTCACACGCAGACACACACATAGCCTCACTCCCGCACACAGACACAGACCATAGGCTCACGTGTAAGTAGTGTACACACGCGTTTGCTCACACGCAGGCTCACATGCACAAGACAGTTGCACACACAGGTTCACAAATCTCACACCTCGTTCAACCCCCCTGCCTGTAGACACATGGCAGACACAATGGCATACCCTTTCCCATATGAGGCACACAAGTGCCTGGGAACACGGGACCCAGGGCTGTGTGTGGTGCCAACAGAGTCTGTGTCAGGCAAGCAGAGTGTATGCTGACAGTGCCCAGGGACATGGGATGGTGCCCACGGCAACACAGCTCGTTCATTCATTATTCCAGGCTGGTCAGGGCAGGCCAATGGGTAATGGATAATCAGACCCAGTCCTGCTCTCCTGGAGCTTCTCCTGTGTTGGGCAAGTGGATGCTGGACAGGGAGGCACTGTCTTCACGGGTCATCCAGCAGAAACCCCATACACAGCACACATGCTCCCAGGCGTCCCTGCCCTGGCAAACAGACACTCACCATGGCACCAAGGTCCAGGCATGGATAGCGGGTGTGCTCCAGCCCCAGCTGGCGCAGGCTGATGGGGCCCAGGGTGGTGGGCAGTTCAGGGCGCAGGTCCATGGCCCACACATAGCGCAGGCCGCACAGTGCCAGCCCATAGAGCAGGAGGCAGGGCGAGCACAGTAGGGCCAGCTGGCGGCGGCTGCGCACCGTCCAGATGAGGCAGGCCCAGAGCAGCAGTACGAAGGTCAGCCAGCTGTGGTAGGTGATGCTCCATACCTGCAGCGGGTCAGGCAGGTCTACACAGGGTGCCCACCCAGACACCAGGCCCACTGCCCCAACCCCCAGGTGGCTGAGCCACAGTCAAGCGGTGCTGTCATGGTAAGGGAACGTGCCCTGCTGAGCTTGGGGCACATTGGGACAGGACGCACATACGTGCACAAGCACACACATGCATACAACCTTCCACCTCCCATTGCTCATGGCAGCACCCATGGAGGGCCCCCACTGGCTGCTGGTCCTCACCATCATGGCAATAAGGGCACACACGTAGCTCTGGTCCATGACAAGGTGGCCCAGGCCATGCAGCGGAGATGGCTCCTTTGGCTCAGCGAGCCTTGGGCGTACTGAGGAACAGAGGGGGACAGAGGTCAGCTCCAAGAGGGGGACCTGGTAGAGTCCCTTCCTACACCTAAGTTTGCCCTAAAATTTGGATAGTAAGAACAGGGCAGTAGGGAGCCAGGTTCAGCCAGCAGGTAGGAGCCAGGGTCAGCAGATGGCCACCATGAACACTGGGCAGGAAACAAGGGAAAGACCCTGCTGGGTCTGACACTGTTCCTGAAGGTGCTGTGTGACCTTAGTCAATTCCTGACCCTCTCTGAGCCTTGGCTTCTGTGACCCTGAAAAGACAGGCTGCTCAAGGCGGCTGTGACCCCCTTCAAGTTCTGCATATGTGAAAACTCTCAGGGAGCCGACTGACAACTTCATTTGCTTCACTTACAAACAAATCACAAAATGGACAGCAAGACTTAGGGTAAAGAAAACACCCAGAAAACACCCCCAGCCCCTCCCCCATGACACAGCCATCACCAAGCTCCCTAGCTATCACATGCCCAGAACACCAGCAGCCTCCTGGGGCTGCTAGGCTGTCTGCACCCACCCCCAGAAGGAGTCCCCACTCGAGGCCAATCTGGCAGGGCCCTGGAGGGCTCCCCGGAGGGTTACAGGGTCAGCCGCATGGCCACCTGACAACCTTGGGCAGCCTAGCATGAGCAGGGTGGACAGGCTTAGGAGAGGATATGCCAGACCACCAGCAGCCACCAGGGGGCAGCACTGGCCTCCAAAGCCACGTGAACCTGCAAAGCTGCACAGGCTGGGTGTCCAAGGAAGGAAGTGAACCTGGGGCCCCTCGGTGCATGCCACACTGACCGGGTCGCTGTCGGACGGGGGTCTGGCCGGTCAGGTCATGTACAATGCAGCTGTCAGCGTTGGTGTCGGACGCTGCGGGCGTGGGAACGGCAAACTGCAGAGGACCCAGGGATGAGCCAACTGTGGGCAGATAGCCCCGTGCACACCCCCCTCACCCAACTCCTCACCTGGGTGGCTTCCCCGTCCTGGGACCACTGGTCCATCTCGGCCAGCTCCATCTCCCGCTCCCTGTGCACCGTCTGCAGAACAGAGCCAGGAGCTCAATCCATGCAGAGGTGGTGGGGCCAGAGACTGGGCAGGCCAGAGGGGTGATGCAGGGGCTCACCTGGGAGGAGGGGTCGGGTCTGTGAAGCTTCAGGAGGGACGTCACTGTGTAGTAGAGCAGCAGCAGCACCCCGGGGCTCACGTACACAGGCCAGTCATGGCTGGTGTTGAGGGTTAGTGCATTGGGGCTGGAGCAGTTGGAGGGGCCCAGGAAGTCCTTGAGACCAAACACCCTGCCCAGAGAAGGTGCATCACTAACCATTGTCCTCAGAGGCCATGGAGCCATCCAAGGGCTCCGACGTGGCCAGACAGGCAGGACCAGGGCCATGCAGGCCAGCTCTCACCTGGCCCAGATGCCTGCAGGTGGGAGAATGTCCTGGGCATAGGGTATCTGGTAGCAGTAGAGGCAGATGAGATGGCCGGCGCCAAAGCAGCCCACCATGATGCAGAGGGTGCTGAAGCCCAGAGGGCTGATGGGGAGGTGGCAGGCCCACCAGGTGCAGATGGTCAGGAAGGCCAACAGGTAGATGCTGGAGGAGGCTGAGGGGTGGGCGATGCCTGCGAATGGGCAGAGGGGGGACAGTCAGGCCTGCTGTTGCCGTCTCCTTGGTCACTGGGGAGCTCCCAGACCCCTCCCTGCCTTGGCGGGTACCTGCCAGTGCGAGCAGCGTTACAGCCAGGGTCCGCCCTGCGGCCACCAGCAGCCAGTGAGCTGTGACCCGGAACCGGGTGGCCAGCCGTGACCTCTGCTTGGAGGCTGTTGCAGGGCCTCCCTGCAGCCCTGCCAGGGGGCCCACATCCACGTCATCATCCTGCCAAGGCCATGGACGGGTGAGGTAAGGTGCATAGCACTGAGGCCAATTCAGCCCCACTCCTGCCCAGCTAAGGTTCAGGGAGGCTGCATGCATGGCTGTCCCCCAGAGCCCCAGGGCTGCTGCCCCAAGCAATGGCCCATACTGTCTTCCAGGTGGCCTTCCTGGTACATTTATAACCACTGCACTGGGCACCACAGGGTTGACAGCTGAGATCTCCCCACACCACACAGCCAGGGACAGCAGGGCCCATGTGCACCTGTGGGGTCTACAGAGTAAGGGGGGCTGTGAGGGACAAGGCCGGGCACTGTGCTCCTGCCCTCCCCAGCCTGTGGAGGATAACAAATAGCTGACTTTCCAGGAGGAAAAGGACAGCCCAGACTGGGGCTCGTTTCCGTGGCCCTGACTGAGTTTCCCAGAACAGACCTGTTCCCAGATGTCAGGAAAGCCAGGGCGTGAGGTGAACATGGACTTGGCCATTAGGTGCCTCAGCTCTGACTGGCTGCTGGCAGCCCATGTGCCCATTTGTGACTTGGGCGCCGTGCCTGTGGCTGTCCAGCTACCTGGCTGAGAGAATGGCCCCGTTCCCACCCCAACCCCGATAGTCTCTTTGCTGTGTGGCCTTAGGTAAGTTACTTAACCTCTCTGAGCTGCCCCCACCTGTCAGATGGGGGATGGGACTGAAAAGGAGAAGTCCTATCCTCATGGGCTACCAGAGCTGCAGGGGGGCTGGGGAATAGGGATCTCAGAGCAGAAGAGGCCCTGGCCCTGAGCCCCCTTCCCAAGACCATGCAGCAGGGCACATCACTCATCCCCAGGGCCCTCCCTTAGAAGTAGGGGGAGCACATGCCACTCCCTGCTGGCCATGGGGCAGAGGAAAGCCAGGATGGGGGTGGGGGCTGGAAGGCCTGAGCTCACCCCACCCACGACCTGGCCCCAGCCCTGGGACATCTTTTGAGAAGGGCCGTGGAAAATGAGTGTTTCTGGGAACAGAAAGAACAGAGGCAGCTGCTAGAAGGGCAGGTGTGAGGCCACGGCAGCAGCCAGACCTTCCCAGCTGCGACTCGGCAGTCCCCACACGCCACAAGGGACGCTGGAGAACATCCCACACTCTTCCTTATTTTTTGCCTGCAGACAACAGGCTCCTCAGAACTGTCCTGCACTTCCCGCTGCCGAGGTGCACATGTGTATCATGTACCCAGATTGGGGGCCTGGGTGCAGGAGTGAGGGTGGCCCATAGGCGTGTGCACACGGGCCTGCCAGGCAGGGCGTGTGGGGGGTGGCATCTGGGAACTTTAGGACTGTGCCCTGTGGGTGCCAGGTGGAGCCCTCAACACCTCCCCTGAAGTCTGTTCACACTGACCACCATGGAGCCTGGTAGGACAGTACAGTTCTCACCCCCCTGGGATGACTGTGATGCCAGAAGGAGCCCCTATGCTCTAGGGCAGTGGTTCTCAACCTTCCTAATGCCACAACCCTTTAATATAGTTCCTGTGGGCCGCGACCCACAGGTTGAGAACCACTGCTCTAGGGGAGTAGGGAGCCCTGGACACAGGCCTGCTCCATGCCCATGTATCCTCAGTGGGAGGAGAGGGGCAGGGACCCTCCAAGGATTCTGACAAATGCTGGAGATGCCAGATGGCACCCAGGGCCCCCCATCCTCACCCTGAAAGATGGGGGTGGGGGGCAGTGGGAGATTCCTCTGCAGGCTAGACTGTCCCTCTGACCTGCTGTGCAGCCATGAGGATCCCTTTCTCTCTGGGGTCCTCTGGAAGGCCAGCCCGTGTGCCTGATAAGTGTCAGCTGTTTGACAAAGGGACGCTGGTGCAGGAGTGGGGAGAGAGGAGCCTGCGTCCCCAGCACCTCCAGGCAACAGTTTTCGAGCCAGGACACATGGGTGGTTTTGGGTCCTGGCTGAGCCCTGGAAACCAGGCCCTATTAGGCAGAGGCCAAGCTGGGGTGGGGTGGATAGAGTGGGCCCTGGCTGTTCATGTGACCTCTGCCCTTGTGAATGGGCAGGAGGGTGCTGAGTGGGTAGCAGTGGAGGCTGTCAAGGGCCTGGGCTTAAGCACTGACTGTGAGAAGCAGCTTGGGGCCCAAGACCCCATGACTGGACCTGACAGGTCTAGGGCAGCTGAACTTGATGCCCCTCACCCTCCAGGCCAGGCTGACTCAGGGCTATGGCTCCAGGGGCCAAGGACGTGCTCTGCTGGTAGCCTTTGCTTGGCCTGAGAGGCACACTGGCCTATCTCCCAGCCCTGGAGGTGCCCACTGTGTGGCCCTCAAGGACTCTCCACCCATGTTCTAAGAACACAGATGCTGGCTCAGCACCTGTGGCTCAAGTGGCTAAGGCACCAGCCACATACACCTAAGGTGGCAGGTTCGAATCCAGCCCGGGCCCACCAAACAACAATGACGGCTGCAACCAAAAAATAGCTGGGTGTTGTGGCGGGCGCCTGTGGTCCCAGCTACTTGGGAGGCTGAGGCAAGAGACTCACTTGAGCCCAGGAGTTGGAGTTTGCTGTGAGCTGTGATGCCACAGCACTCTACCAAGGGGGACAGCTTGAGGCTCTGTCTCAAAAAAAGAACACAGATGCTGCCGTGGGGTCCATGGACATTTCTGACCGGAGGGGGAGCCCTGGTGACAGCAGGTCTCAAATGGCCACAACCCCAGGCATTGGGGGTGGGACCAGGACGCAGACGCTCATCTCCCCTGGAGTCTCACCTTGTCTCGGTCAGCACAGATGTATGACTAACAGGACTATGCTTATCTAAAATAAAAAGTGGGACCGTGGCTCTAAAATGACCTCCCAGCACCCAGGGCACAGCTGCCCACAGCCCCTCACCAGCTCGTGGGTTTGTGGGTTCTCCCGGGTTTTCCTTGTGAGGCGCCTGCAGAGGCCAAGGCAGACGGAGGAGACCACCAGGATGCCCAGGTCGGGGGCCACCAGCCGGATGGTGTTGGGGATGTCCTTCAGGTCCAGCCTGCGAAGGGTGGCCCAGGCATGGTCAGGCCAGGAGGCCAGTGCAGTGGAAGGGAGTGGGGAAGGGCCCAAGTACCCCAAGTCTGGGCAGAGAGGTGGACAGCTCCAGGACCTTCCTTGGGCCCAGGAAATCCTGAGGGAGGCTTGTTGCAGGGCCTTACCTCGTGACCCCCACATGCTGTGAGAGGGTCTCCCAGCGGCTGCCTACAGAGAGACACAAGAAAACCCACATCAGATCCAAAGAGCCATGTGGTTTAGGAGGAACCATAGGGCCTGGTATCTGGAGAGCACAGCAACAGATCTGAGACGCCTGGATATGTCTTTACTGGCAGGGAGACTGAGGCTGAGCTGAGGCCCCATCAGCCCTGGGTGGCAATACAGGGCAGAGGTGGGCAGATGTGGCTCCCTGGGGCAGAGAAGGGCCAGTGTAGGGAGGCCAGGTCTCAGTCTCAGGAGGGGCCCTTGGCAGGGCCTGCCGGCTTCCGATTTCTCTCCTGGCTTTGATTTCTCAGCAGCAGGGGGATAATCTCCAAAGAATGAAGATAAGGACGTAGGGTGACACCTGCTGCCCATTTGGCCAAGCTAGGAGCTCTGGGCTCTGAGGCCTGGTGTGCTGTGTTAATTCTGAGTTGGCAAGGCAGGTGCCAGCGGGCAGTAGGGTCTGAGGGGCAAAGGGGTATCAGACAGTGGGCTGGGGAGTGCCAAGGTCCCTGGCATGGCCCAGCCAGGTCACTGGGCCCCATCAGGCAGCTCCTGGCCCTGGGGACACTTTCCACCTACTGCTCGGCCAGTCCCAGGCCTTAACCTGGCTGCTAAGGGTCCTCCTAAACTGGGGAGCCTAGGTTAGCAGGGCCTGCCAGGGGACCTGCAATCTCACCCAGGAAATATACTGGGTCTCCTGACCCCACTGCTGCTGTCCAGCACCCTGCCCTGCCCCACTACTCACAGTTGGATCCCAGGAGCTGGTCCAGGTGGGGCACGGTGTGCAGACATATCTGGAAAGTGAGCTGGGCCACCAGGAAGAGGAGGCTGAGGCAGAGCAGGGCCCGGAGGAGGCGACCCGTGTGACCTGCTGGCAGAGTGGTCACGACTAGGCTGGTACTTGGTCCAGCCTGAGGGCATGGGAAGCAGCAGGCTAGCTGAGACGTCCATCTGCCCAGTGGCCCTGGCTGAGCCTCACCCACATGGCCCAAGCAGGGATACAGGGTCCCATGCTGCCCAATGCAAAGACCTTATGGTAGGGGCAGTGGGCCTTGGGGAACATTCTGGGCTAGACACTGTGGGTCACAGTGGGGACAGAAGCAAGGTGAAGTGGGGCCATGGAACCAGGAGTAAGGCTGATCCTGACCTGGGGATGGTTGGATGGATGGCACCAGGAAAAGCCCACTTCCCAGCTAAAGAGCCCTTCTCCAATGGCTGGCCAGGTGGTCCTGATCAGCCTTCAGACTGTGCCCAAGCCTGCAGGCATTGGGCAAAGTCCAATCCCTACCACAGGCCCACAGGGCGTCACTATCCACCCCACAGATGGGGAACTGAGTGGAGCGCTGGCTCCTGGTCAGACAGCTAGAGAGGCATTTCCACTGCCAAGAGCCCCTCCAGGGCCCAGCTGCCAGCTCCTGCTAGCCCCAGCAAGCACTAGGTACCAAGCTCTCTCAGCCAGCATGAGGCCAAAGGGAAGGGCGCAGCAGCCCAGCTCGCCTGCCCCGCCTGGCCCCTGTCTGAAATGAGCTGTCTTTGCCTCCCGCCCCTGTGGATGGCAGAGCAGGGGCCCAGCACAGCGCTCATCCAACCCAAAGAGGAGCAGGGCTCCCACTGTAGAGGCTCAAACAGAGCAGGGTGCTGGAGAGAAGCAGGAAGAGGGAGGCCTTGGGCTTCACAGCGGGCACAGCTCACAGAGACCTATGGGCCCTGGGCCTAAGCCTCCTGAAACCACTTCTCAGCCTGCAGCAGCCTGAGGTGCCTCTACCTCAGCACTGGCCTGACTATAGCCACCCCTCCCACACCATGTCTCAGACACCCCCAGCCCCTGCCTACTGCTCCTCCTGCTTGGGTCCTTCAAGCACTGCCCCCACAGACTCCTGCCCTCCAAAAAGGCCTGGCTCACACCACCCTCTTCTTAGCGTGGGCCCCTTAGCAGGGCTCCTGTGTCCCTATACGTTGTTTGCAGACCTCACCCTCCTGATAGCCAGGCAGGGGCCAAGCCCGGTTCCCAGAGTTTATGGAGCCCCCATCCTGGTTGCCGGGGTGCACACACAGGAGCCCCAGAGCCTGGTTCCTGGGGTGTGTATTAGAGCCCAAGTCTGATTTGTGGAGTGCACATGTGTCCAGCCAAGGGATCCCAGGCACCACCTGCACAGGGGAGTGACCCTCGTGTGTCTGAGGCCACACACTGAGTGGTCCAGAGAGGTAGGGGCCATACAGGGGATGAGTGGAGACAAATCAGAAGGCTGAGCCACCCCCAGGGAGAGGTGAGAGGTTAGGACAGTCCCAGAGGCTTCTAGGGGCTGAGCTTGGGGCGTGAGGCTCAGGATGGAGCTTTTGAGGTAGGGAGAGGCTTCCTCAGGCCCCTGAATGACGCCCAGGTCCGGTGTTGACCCATGTGGGCCTACACTGGCCGCCCCAGGCCCTAACCAACTCCCATCCTCCCTGCACCCAGCCCTAGGGTCAGCTGGCGCCCACATGGGGATCCGTGGGCAGCACCAGACCAACCCCCAGGGCCAGTGCCAGGCAGCAGAGGCACAGCTCATGAACCTATGAGACGCTCCGCACTCAGATCTCACACTTTCCCCTCCTGCCCAGAAAAACCAGGCAGTGTGTCTGTTCCTGAAGGGCCTCTCAGGCCAGACAGATGGACAGGAGGAGGGCTGGGCAGGGAGCCTGTGTGTTCCTCTTCTAATCAGGGGAAAGTGTTTCCAATCATGCCTGTGGCATGAAATATTTATGAAACAAGCAGCCAAAGGCTGAGGGCATGGGACAGACAGAACCAGTTCCATAGACAGCAAGGGGCCAGAGTGTGGCCCACTCAGCTCAGCTCAGGCTGGCCATCTTGGGAGGGTCCAGCACTAGGACCCCAGAAGCTCCCAGCTGGTTCTGGCACTCAGCCATGCAGGGTCCTCCTCACCCCTGAATTCCCAGAGCCAGGAGGAAGCTGAGGGGTAGTCAGGGCTGAGGCTTAACAGTCCAAGAGGGCATGATGGCCACACCCTAACCCCTGGGACCGGTGAACATGTAACCTCACCCACAAAGCAGGGTGAGGGTAGCAGAGAGGCGGAGGCTGCTAACTAGCTGACCCCCAAATAGAGAGATCAGCCTGATTGTCGTGGGCATGAAGCAGCCACCAGGTCATCGTAAGTGGGCGGGGGCAGGAGAGACAGGCCTAAATCAGCCACGGCGAGCTTCGAGGACAGAGGGCGAGGCTGCAAGCCAAGAGACACAGAAACTTCAAGCAGCTGGAAAAGGTGAGGAAATGGCTCCACCCGGAGCCTCTTGAATAAACGCAGCCCTGGGATGCCCACGTCAGGCATCTGACCTCCCTCCAGAACTTTGAGAGAATCCACATATGGGCCTTTAAACCATTCAGTTGTAGTAACAGGAAACTTAGATGCACCTCAGGCCCCAAAGCAGCCAGGCTGCCCCTGTCCACTACCTCCCAGAGGGCAGTGCCTGCAGGCATGGTGACCCTCAATGGGCCTGGGCAGTCATGCCAAGCCTGGGCTCCACTCGTTAGGGTCCCTTGCTGCTGGTGCTGCTCTCCCTGGGGACCTTGTATGAGCTGGCTGGCTATTCATGCTCCCAAACCTGAAAGCCAGTTGAGGACCCTTCCTCATAGGGCTGCGGAGTACTCCCTCAGAAACTCTCACTAAAAATTCTGGGTCACACAGAATGGACACAGTACCCCTAAGCAGGTGATGACAGCCTCAGGGTACAAAAGTCCTCTCCCGAACATCCTGCCTCTGCTGTGCTGCCCTTGGCACCTGGCCTGCAGGCCCATCTTCCAGCACAGGGCTCTGCCCTCATCCACCTACCCCTACCCCAGGATCCTGGCAGGCCTCTCGCTCCTGCCCTGCCATGGCCTCAGTGTCGAGACCCGCTGTGGATGAGGCCACCATGCCTGGCTTTCCCACCACAACTGTAGGACACAGAAGAGGGAGATGGATCCCAAGATGGCCCCAGGTATGCCCAGTTACCCACACTGCCCACAGGTGTGAGAAATGGAGGGAGAATGGACAGGGCCCAATTCTGCCAGGTGTGCCTGTGGGAAGAGCTGGCATGGTGACTGGACTTTGTGGGTCACCTGGCGCCTCACCAGGCAGAGCACGTTTGTGGACAGAGGTGGGGGGGAAGGCAGACCATGGCATGGGGACCCAGGGTCCACTCACTCTTATGGCTTCCCAAGGGATGGCCAGTGACAGGCAGGAATCTGCCCCATGACCCCCAGGACCTTCCTTATGTGCCCTGTGTCAACGACCACAAGAAAATTCTAAAATTCTGGGAACCCTCACCCATTACCCACAGCTGTAAAACTGAGCAAAGTTTGCACCGTGGGGGTTTGTGCCTCAAACTTGCTCCTCCTGGGAATGCGGGCCCGTCCTCCTTACCTCGGATGCTGTGCCGGGTGGGGCCAGGGAACCAGGGCAGCAGCAACAGAAACAGCAGGTAGACCAGAGACAGCGCATTGACGCGGAACAGGCAGGCTGTGGAGGAGACGGGCATGAGCAGGTCAGGCAAGGGGACAGCGCTGGCTAGCACAGCCGTGCCCCCATCCTGCGGGGCAGAGGCGTCCTCCATGACATGCTGTTATCCAGCCTGGCACATCTGAGGTTTGTCCACACAGACGTGAGTGCTCTCATGAACACACCACCGCTCAGCCTGAACTTGTGGTGGCATGGAGGCTGTGCGGGTTCCTGCCATGTTCTTCCTCTGTGAAGCCCCTTCAGCTAGTCCTGAGGGCTCTAACATGCACACAGCCAGCAGGCCACAGTGCAGCCTGTCACCCCAAATGCTCCTGCCTGCCTCATACCCTGCTGAGTGCTACTCTGTGTCCACTCCTGTGAGGCTGCATGTGGCAATCGCACAGTACAGAGCCCAGAGCATGTGCTAGCATCTGTCCAGTGGCCCAACTTGGGGACTTCCCATTGCATTGTCCCCAAGTGGGAGCCTAGGGAGGCCCCCGCCTGCCACTGAGGCCGTTTCCTCCCAGGAACGTGAGGTTGGTCAGATCTGGGGTAGGACCTGATGCATGGGGGGGGTACTGTCACAAGGGACCTAGGAGACCACCTTAGCCTCTCCTGGGGTGCTGGGGAGCAAAGGGCCTCCCAAGGCACCAGTAGCACATGGTCCACCTGCAAACCCCTGGCCAGAGCCGCTGGCCCTCGGAAGCCCACACAGCCTCTGTGCCTGGACTGGACCCCAGACCAGGGAACAGGCAGAGTGGGGGTACTCTCACGAGCTGCACCCTTTCCTGGTCAACTTCCTGTGACTGTCCTCAGAGGACCCAGAGCCAGGCTCCTCAGGGGGCTGCTTGCCCACATCTGCTCTGCCCTGCAGACCCCCCAAGTACAAGGCCTATGTATCCAGCATCTGTCAGGTGGGTATCTGACATTCACTGGACAACAGGCCTGACCTCAGGCCAGGAGGCCCATGGCCTGGCAGAAATATAGGCGAGGTCCAGGACAGATGCAGGGTGTGGAGCCCCGTCACTTTCAGTCTGCCAACCCTGGAAAGAAGGAGATGCCAAGGACAGCCAGGCGTGGTGCTGTTGGGGCGGGAGTTGGACACGGCTAGCAGATGCCACAGAGGGGCCCTGGACCCAGCAGCCTGCCCACCACCCCATGCGTCTTCCTAAAGCTGGCGGCCTCTGTCCTGCCACAATGCGCTAGCTGTGGAGATCAGGTCTATCATCTTACATCTATTTTAATAATTATATGCTTTCATTAAAAAAAAAAAAAATTGGGCTCGGTGCCTGTAGCACAGTGGTTATAGTGCCAGACACATACACTGAAGCTGGTGGGTTCGAACTGGCCCAGGTCAGCTAAGGCAACAATGACAACTGCAACCACCACCACAACAACAACAAAATAGCAAGCATTGTGGCCAGCAACTAGTCCCAGCTACTTGAGAGGCTTAGGCAAGAGAATCGCTTAAGCCCAAGAACTGGAGGTTTCTGTGAGCTGTGATGTTACAGCATTCTACAGAGGGTGACATAGTGAGACTGTCTCAAAGAAAAAAAAAAAATCGATCCAGCCCAAGTAGCAGGAAAATGCATTTACGGCAAAGGCTTCTCAGCTCCCTCTTGTATCGAGAGCTGCACATCTCCCCAGCCCTGTCCCCAAAAAGGCCACCTCCCATCTCATAGCAGCCCTGAAGAGCTGGCTGGCTGTCCATCCATCCCAGCGATGGTCCATTGTGGTCTGGCACCAGGGATGGTGTGAGGAAGCCTGCAACAGGGCCCCTACCATGGGCCAGAATGACAGGCACCCTCCTCACAGCCTGCCATGTCCTCTGGTGCAGCCAAGGAGATGACCGAGGTCTGGGGATGGATCATGGTGACACCTTCCGAACACCCCTTTTCCAAAGCCAGCAACAACTGGGGATTGGGGTGGGTGGGTTAGAGCCATGGCCAGTAGGAAAACCCCCACCCCTGCATGCTGGACTCTTCATAGACCCACACCCCACATCCCAGAGACAGAACCCGCAGCAGCCCCGTCCATGACCCTCATCCTACAGCTGCAGGAACCAAGGTTGGGGAGGGCAGAGAGGCCACTTGGGGCAGCTGGGTGACCAAGGGCCAGGTTGGCCTGTGCTCAGCCACTGCTGGGTCAAAAAGGGAGGATGAGGAGAGTTGGCCATGAAAGCCACAACAGTCATGCAGTGGAAACTAGCCCACATGCAGCTCAACCAGAACATTCCTTGCAGAGGGCTGGACACCACCTACTTCCCTTGGCCTGCAGGAAGACGGGGCATGCCAAAGGGGGCATCAGACACCGAAGACCTGGGGGTGGGATGCAGGTCTCAGGATGAGTATCCCCAAGGTGGGCCTGTGCCCCAGGTGGGAGAATGGACTCCTCCTGGACCCCTCGACCACCATTTGCTGCTTGAGCAAGGATGACTGCCCTGAGCCTGGGTCCCCACTGGGAACCTGGGTGAACCAAGCACAAGATAGTGTGGCGGGTGGGCAGCACGGCTGCCACAGGGGTCCATGCATGCGCATGCTTTGGGTGGTGCCATGTGTCTGCTTTGCCCGTCTGAGGGGCCAGGTGAGGGTGATTTCCAATGGAACTTGGTACACAGGGCCTGCGAGAGTGGCTGAGAACAGGTCTCTGAAAGGCCTATTGGGCTGTGCCGGGGCCCCTGTGCTGGGAACAAGGGCCAAGGGGTCAGGAGGTTCTTGAACCAGGCTGAGAACCCTCTCAGTCCTTCTCTAGGCCTGTTTCCCATCTACAAAGTGGGAGCCCAGGGGCTGGAGTTCATGACCTGGCAGCCCCGCCAAACCCAGGGATGTTGGACCCAGGGCGAAGCAGGGGCCATCACTTCAGCTGGAGGTGCCATTCTCTGAACCCTTCTAACAACCTCAAGGGAAGCTAATTGCCACCTCACAGGCAGATAGAAGACTAAACCCAGGGGGTCCCCCAAGCAGCCTCACAAGAAGTCCCCCCAGCACAGTTCCCTGGGCAGTACCACCACTTTAGCAGAGCTGGGCCACTTGACAACTCCAAGGACTCCTTCTGGCCCCAGAAGCTGCCATGCAAGGGCCTGGTCAGGGACCCCTGACCCAGCCCCCTGTGCCTCTGTTGCCCTACCCAGACCTAGTCAGCAGAGGGGCACAGGGTAGACCATGGCCCTACAGGGTTGGGGCAGAGGGGCCAAATCCAGGAAGGAACCCCAAGGGCCTCCTCGACTCACAGCCTCACTCCCACAACCCAAGCTGGGTCCTGGGCAGTGGCCCGTCCTGCCAGTCCTCCCAGCCAAGGAACAATGGCCCTTGGGGCTCTCAGGGCAGGGTCAAGACCCAGTTCCTGCCCACATTTGAGGACCCCACATTGGACCCTACTGTGTCCCCCTATCTGGTGGCTTTCTGCTGTCCACAGCGAGCCAGGGTCCTTCTGCATCCCCCCCTTGGCTGGAGCAGTGCCCTGGCCTGGGGCCACCCCAGCCCCTCCCATGCTGTTTGCACCTGCAGCAGTCCCCATTCAACCCACTTCTCTGGCCTGTGTCTCTGAGAGACACCTGTGGATACATGAGTCGTGGGAGAGAGATCCACAGCACAGAGCAGAGAACATGGGAATGGCCTTAACATCCAGCAGCAGCGCAGAGCCCTGGGCGGCGTGTGGGTCCCTGTGCCCTGACACAAATGCCAGCGTGTGCCCTGCAGGCTGCAGCACGGGCCCAACCCTCAGGACTTTTAGGAAGACCACAGACAAGCCCCATCTTCCTCTCTGAGTGAGAATCACAGGTGCCTGAGACACAGCGTGAGAGAGGCAGCATGCACCAGCCTTCATGGCAAGTCAGAGACACATACAGCAGATTCCTTTTGGGTAACAACTGAAATGAGAACAAAAACAGCCTATATGTATGTAAACACATAACAAGGCCCAGAATGACAGACCTGAACCCACTGCGGATAAGACACCCATGACGCCTCACTATGGGTAAGACACCCATAACATCTTCCTCCTTTTCAAGGGTAACATTTTCACGTGTTCCAGAGCTATTCCCAAGTGAAGTGACCCAAAAGAGGGTTGGAGGGGACCAACTGACTGGAAGCAGGCAGGTCACCCAGTATAGCATTATAGCAGGGGACAGAGGCTGCGAGTATGTTGAGTCCTCTGAGTCCCCATAGCACATGGGGTGGGTGGCAGAACGAGAACCTGGGCCAGCACCTGGCTGGACTTTGCTTGTCGCTTCCATCCACTGATCAGATGAACCTCTGTGGGGGTGGGGAGGACCTGAGGCCCCAGATGACAGTTGCCAGGCCAGGGCCACCGCTGGGGTCCTTGTCCACGCCCGGCTGCCCTCTCCCGCCCACCCCAGCTCCAAGTGCACTCCCTGCCTTATTTGGCTTGGACAAGAAGTCCATAAACACTTTTGTGCTAGAGCTTCTGGCAGTGGGTGGGGCCAGGCAGATGGGGAAGAGGACGTGGCACAGGGGCTCCCGGCTGCCACTGGCTCCTTCCCATCCCTCGCTGGAGTCCCAGGGCTAGTCCTGGCCCCACAGAGCCCAAGTGGCTTACCTGCCACCCCCTCCAAACTGAGGCAGAGCACAAAAACCGGACCCAGAACCAGAGGTGACATAGGCACAGGTCACCCCCACCTTTCTGGAGGAGGGTCAACCAGGCCAGCCAAGGGCACAGGGAGTCAACTGCCCAGGAGTCCCCCCCAGGATTCACAATCTGGCCTGAACAGAGCCCTGGGAAAGCAGGCAGAGATGGAGCATGTGGGGAGGGGCTGGGGGTGGCTGTGGCAGGTTCCCGCTTGCCTCTTCCTGAAATCCTCCACCCTTTTCACCACTGGGAGGACCCCTGACAGGCACTCAGCTTGGTGGCACTGTCCCTGAGCACAAGTCCTACCATTGGCACCTGCCCCCAAGCCCACCCTGATCCCAGGATGGCAGGGCCCTGTGCCCTTAGCAACTCTATGTCCACGGGCTGTGATTCCCAGACACTGGACGATTACTGGACAAGCCCAGACCATTCCC